TTGTAAAGCAAACTTCATTTTTTGAGACCTGACTACAGAGATTTATTGCAAAGAATTTTTATTTTTCTGAAAAAAAGTGTGGCTCACACACTCTTGTATTTCTAGATTCCTGGATTTTGTGAGAATGAGAAAGGGATCGTCCCATGTAATATTCTGGTCGGCTATAAAGCTGTGTACCGTTTATGCTTTGGCTTGGCTATGTTCCACCTTCTTCTCTCTCTACTGATGATCAAAGTGAAGAGCAGCAGTGATCCTAGAGCTGCAGTGCATAATGGGTACGTTTTGAAGTCTGCATAGTATCTTCACAGTAATTCTGAGTCTACCTACAGCAATGTAAAACTTATGTACTGTACAGAATTGTTTTGACCATTAATGAATGACAAGGTAAGAAAATCCTTTATTTCTGCTAGAAAATGTCAGACTTTGGAAACATAAGTCTAATCGGTAGTTTTCAGTCATTTATTGACAAAATGCTTTATATTTTCATCCTAAAAAGAAGTCCTTGCACATTTTGACCTACTGTTCCTCCTCCTCCTTTCTACTTTTCATAGGATGCGTTTTCATAGTGCTGTAGGCCTTTAATACAGGTAACAGAAAATTTTTATTCCTAACCTGGGAGACTGATTTTCTAAGTTGGCAGGACAACTTGGAAAAAAAAACTTAGGGTGTCACTATCGGTCTTCCTTAATAAAAGTACTTTATCTTGTTCTGGGGGTTTGAATGCTGCCTACTTTTATTTTTTGCTGCACAACTAGGGAGAAAATATTCTTAAGTATCTATGCATATGCTACTCAAAATGGGAAAAAATGAGCAAGTGGGGTATAAATATTAATTAAAAATGTCATTGAAATAGGTAGATTTGGCTTAATTTTGTCTTCAGTCATTGGCTGGTTTTTTTCTCTCTTTGACAGTTATTGTGCAAACAATCTCCCAGCATTTATGTAATGCACCTTATACTTTAACATATCACTCCTTTTAGTATGTAAAATGAGCCTGGTTTTATTTTGGAACACAATTTTCTTTTTACATGATTAATCGGTGACAAGTAAGTTTTCAAAAGTGTCTCAAGGGCAGTTTCCTTAAATCTTGCCTTCCCATCATCACAAAAGATCGCTTCAGAAAGAATAATCACACAAAGTACAGCTATTCTTTCAGATCCTGAAAGAATTCATTTATGAAAATTTTGAGTAATATTTATTAACTAAAAAATGGTATTTCTTTTTGTTTTAGATTCTGGTTCTTTAAATTTGCTGTAGCAATAGCAATTATTATTGGGGCATTCTTTATTCCAGAAGGAACTTTTACAACTGGTAAGTTGTGTGTGTGTATGTGTATGTGGTGATGATGATGATGATGATGATTAAAAAACTAAAATAAATACTATATTTCTTTCCCGCCTTTCGCCCCCTCCTCCCCTTTTAGTCTCCTAGTTGGCATTATTAAGGTGTTCATGTAAAGTTCTCTTCCCTTTTGTGTAGTGTTTGTGAAAAGAAATAAAAAACAGACCCAGACAGGCCTATGTATTGATGTATTGTTCTTTCTTTCAGTGTGGTTTTATGTGGGCATGGCCGGTGCCTTTTGCTTCATCCTCATACAGCTCGTCTTACTTATTGACTTTGCTCATTCCTGGAATGAATCCTGGGTTGAAAAAATGGAAGAAGGGAACTCTAGGTGCTGGTATGCAGGTAAGCTTTTATCTCAGAACATCTTCAGTGGAGTTAGACTTTGAATGTAGATAGTATCATTTTGATTTATTGTAAGTGATTTTTAGTATAAATGTTTTTGAATGGCATCTTAGTGCATTGTATCAACAGCTTTATTTATTGAGAGATAGTTGGGCAAACTTATTAAAAACATAGTCAAAAACCAGAAAATCCCAGAAGAACCCAAGTAGCTAAAATAAACGTTCGAGAACTTATTGTTGAAACATGCATCTTATAATATTGCACATTTAAAAATTTTTTTGATCAATTTCTTAGTTTCATTACTTAACCTATAGCATGCTAAGAGCAAAATATTAAAGAACAGTGCATGTATTGATGTAGTTCATAAAGTCTGAGCCATTTTATATAAGACAAAGGATGCTTTTATATCTAAAGGAATTCCTGTAGTAATATAGTGAATGTTTATTCATTTGTAATAGAGGTTCAACTACTGCCCCTCATTTTAGGGGAAAAAAATATTCAGCACCCCTGGGCAATTGAAAACGTTTATGTTACAGCCCATAATCTAGGGGGGAAAATGTTAGCATCTGCTTTTGCGGTTTCAGCATGTCTACTTTTGGAAACACCGATTTATAACGCTCCTTTTAGGAAGTAAACAGACAATGAAAACAAGGGAAGTAGAGCCAAGATTAAGTGTGTCCTTATACAAATAGTAGGGGCATAAGTTGCATATTTGCTGCGCTTCCCTACTTTGTAGTTGTTGTGTGCAAATGTCTTCAATATTATGTTTTCGTCAGCTAAGAATCTGGAATTTTGTATGACATTTTCTCACTATTAGCTCTAAGAAGAAATACTTTTAGGTAGCAGTTGTGATCTTGGAAGCCCACAGGGCAGTTCTACCCTTGTGTGGTGTTGCTCTTGGTCAGAATTAGCTCCATGGCGGGGAGTTTGCTTTGGCTGTGGCGTCACAGTTTAGAATTCCCTAGGCATGGAATAAAGACAGAGTTCTCACTTGGATGAATTAGATAAATACATATGTTCTGGACTTACGTTAGGATAGACGAAAACCTTTTTCAATGTCGAAATATAGAAAATTTTATAATGATGACTTACCCTTGCTTAGTTTTTCTGAAAGATTTTAGTTGATGAGGAAAACCAAGATTTTATGTTTTTTAATATCCTTGTTTAATAGAATGATTGTTTTGTTGTTTATTTAATTGAAAAAAACTTAATACTTAGCTATTTTTCTTTTTTTAAAATGCCTACTGTATTTGAAATTGTTTTGTAAATGGTTCTATAAATTTAACTAATAAAAATACTATCCTTGACAATATAAAAGTGAGCCCTATAGAAAGGCTATGAGATTCTTTAGTGATAAAGCTAAGAATTAGTTTTCTCCCCTGCTTTTATGGAGTCATAATGATCAGAAAGCGTGTCTTTAAATAAAATGACAGCTTGCTTTTAAAATAAACTATATGCCTAATTCCTTAGGTTCTGTGACAAATCTAATTGTCCGAATATATATTTTTTCCACAGCTTTGTTATCAGCTACAGCTCTGAACTATCTGCTGTCTTTGGTTGCGATAGTCCTGTTCTTTGTGTACTACACTCATCCAGACGGTTGTTCGGAGAATAAGGCGTTTGTCAGTGTGAATATGCTCCTCTGCATTGGTGCTTCTGTAATATCCATACTGCCGAAAATCCAAGTATGCTCTTTATAGAACTAGTTTGTTGTTTTGTTTGGGGTGTTTTTTTAAGCCTCTGTTAAAAATTGTCATAAATCTTGAAGGA